CCTGAAGAACTGGAACCCATGAAAAAGATAGACGAAATCAGGAGATTCTCAAACAAGGAGCTGCGACTCACTAAAGAATCTATGGGAGCACTGCCGAAATCCAGTGAATACTGTGGACCGATCAAGAAGAAGTCATATAGCTACGTATCTGGGATCATAGGGATAGCGTACAATCCTTTCCTGAGTGAAGACATACGTGATTGCTTCTTTGATTATGAGCAGGCGGTGTTACTAAGGTTCTGGACGTCCAGAATTGTAACGATCAAGAGCGTTAGCAATCCACAGGCCAAGTTGGGACTGGTCTTGGAAGAAGAGGTGACTGCACCTTCAGTACCAAAATCCGACAAGAGAGTGGAGTTTGGGTTGGGATTCTCAGATGAAGTGCTGAGAACGAGCTTGATGGCAGTGTGGGAATTGATGAGGCCATCATGGTGTCCTAGTCCCAACGCTGACTCAATATTACGTGTGACACAAGACGTACAGAGGGAACTGAATGCAGACTGTAACCTGCGTGACCTTAACATCATATATAATGTGATGATAACAGCCTCTAAGTGCAACGGAGAAGATAAAGTGGAGTTGCCTGGCTGGGGACCAGAAGACTGGGTAAAACCTGGTAGCTGTCTGGCGGAAGTCTGTGGACTGGAGGGTCACGTTTGTGGAAGTTTAGACTGTGTGAAAACCCTGGAGAAGCAACATAAGCAATTGACAGTATTGTTTGGAAATGTAGTGATGAAAGCAAGAACGGAAACGGAACTGATAGCAGATTGTCATGGAGGAACTGATGTGAATCTAGTGACTGCACTAGGATTCTGCAGCATGTTTGGTTCTTTAGAGTCACTATTGAATCTAGAACAGAAACATGAGATGGTCACAGCCATCAGTGTAGAAGTATTCCCAGGAGTTCTGCAGACAGAGCAGAAATACATAGGAAAATGGAGGGAGGCGATTGAAACAGAAATGAACATCAGACACAGCGAAACTTATTGTAGACCAGCAGGAGCACGATATTTGGTGGGTTCAACGTTGGCTCCAATGTGCAAGAGCAGATATCCTGTACATTTCGTAGCTGTGGACGTGAAAAGTACAAGAACGATTGTGGATCAAGCCTTTTCAGTGCCGAAGTGCGTGAGGTTGGCAAGAATGTCTGAAAAGTCTTACGAGTTACTGTGTAAGATTTTCTCAGCAGTTCCAGAGAGAACCAAAGAAGAGTTGGAGTCAATACTAGGAAAGAAGTTCATGGGATATGTAAGCGGGAACTTCAGTGACTTTGAAAAACAGAAGCAGAGAGGATCAACTGTCACAGATTACAATGCAGTAGATGAGAATGATGAAATCCACCGAGTGATGATGGAAGTGGAACTATTGCTGGAAGCTTCGGGAAAACGTAATTGGAGGAGCATCATGTTGACACATGATGAGTTTCCTTGCCACTGCTTGTTGCAGACCTGGTGGTATCCCAAGCGTAGTAATCTGATGTTGATCTGGGACTCTGGAGAGCTGCTCTCCATGGGTTTACCAGATTCATCACAGCCCGTAACGATGGTGATAGTGGGAGTTATGATGGCGATACGATGGCTGGAAGCTCATGTGAGAGAAAACAATAGACAGGAGGCACCGACGAGAGAACAATTGCAGAAATTAGATTGTCTAAAAGATTTAGATCTTTTTGAGACAATGTGTAAAGTTCTGAATATTCCGATGGAAGTGAAGAAGATATGGGCAAGAAAACGATTGATGCCTTGGTTCAGAGCTAACATGACTGCATGGTTGTACGAGTATGCGAAAAAGCATATGTCAAAGCATGGCAGAGTGTACAGTGAATATCAGCTGGACATTGGGGCAGGAGCTTTCAAGCGAGCTTTCGTGACTCATCGGAATGCAGTGACCACCGCTGTGAAAAGAATTTCCAGAACGAGTGAGCGTAGTGGAAATGAGAAGGCAGAGATGCTGAAAGAAGATCTGGAGAGAAACGTGACGTTGTGTCTCCACAACAGCTTCTGTAGAAACAGAGAATCCAATGTGGATCCCCTACCTTGTTGTAAACAGAGGGTAGAAGAGCAGAAGTGTTGGATGACGGCTTCCAACAGCGTCAGGATAGTCAACGACGTGCTACAAGACACGGAAACCGAAAGCGCGGAATCAGCATCGCAGGAGGAGGAAATGGAACATTGATGAATGGTCGAGAAAACAAGAGGCAACAAGAAAGAAAATTAGAAGAATTTAGAAGTTTTAGAACTTCTAAACGACGAAAAAGAAGAGAACAAAGAAATGATGAAGAAAAATAAAACTCAGAATTGTTTTATGTGTGTGAAAAAACTCAAGTGAGGAACCAAGCAACCAAGTTGTAATTGAAAACTGAAACATTTTGTTGAGTTCTGAAATTGTTGCATTTATAAATTTGCTTTTTGATTTTAGCAGAAGTGGCTTTAGAGACACTTATTATTTATTTAGAAAGGCTTAAGAAAAGAGTATATTTAAATATTCCAGCCTGCATGATTGTTTTTAATCACTTAGGAAAACTGATCACTTTGTGGTGATATGAAGGACTTGAGTAACCTCTTGAAGAAGGAGGTTGGTGCATTGTTCTTTCTAACCACAAAGTTTCTTAGTTTTAATATTCAGGACAATAAACAAGCAAGATTTCCGAAGGGAAGGAGCATAGTAGGATAATTTTAGCTTGTTGGTTGGCAGGACTGTCCTGCAAGCCAACGCTTTTTAAATCTAGGAGAAAAAGTTTTAGTCGGGACATAGACACTGGAAGTCAGAAAACATGTTTTATCTTAGGTTATATTCTCAATGTGCAAATTAATGAAAGAATTTGAAGGCTATAGTGATGTAGTATGATGCCATTTATATTCTGCAGTGAGTTGATATGACGTGGATAAAAGTAATTCCGTGCATTTTGTAAATTCTGTTCGATGGCACTGTAACCATTTTACGAACATGGCGCGATTCAATGAGGACATTGACCGGACTGTCCGGGGAGTATGTGACATTCGACCAGAATGGCCAAAATGCAGTCTCTGCAGAATTCCGTATTTTAGCAGCAAGCCTTCCGAATTGGCGTTTTAGAACGAATAAGGACGTTATTTGAACGATTGGCCAAACGGTGAAGGCTAGAAGATTCTGGAATTCTAAATTTTAAAAATTCGAATTATGACGTCATATTTCTGAGAAACGTCAGAAACGGCCATTTTAGCTAAAAATAGCGAAAGAAAACAGAACAACTTTTATCTGCGATTACGAACAGTACGAAATCGAGACTGAAAAATCAACAAAGAACTACCGAACAGCAGAGGACGTTCCGAGTTGCAACTATTGTGCTGTTACAATAGTTGCAAGGCCGTTGCGAGCAACGGTGAAGGGTGAAAACCAGCCCTCCAAGTAAGTGTGAACTCGACATTAAGAAGCTTGATTCGCCGGATTCAGGAATCCGGAAGGGTCTCGGGACGTGAACTTTTATGAACTTATATTGAATTTTAGCATCCGTCATGTCCTGACTTGAATTTAACTGATATTTAAATTCGTTTTGACAAGAATGAGGAGCTAGAAGTAAGGGGGGAAGGGTTGATCCATCTTCGATGGAGATGATGATTTTTATCTACTGAACAAAAACAATAGTAATATAATAAATAGTAGCCCTGTTTTTAGGAGTGACCTCGTGGTCTGGGGATACTGAGACCCAGCCATGAGCTCACTAATTTTGCATGTAATTAAGTTAATTTGAGCGTTCTGGTCGAAGCCGGAGAGCAGTAACGTTTTTGTCGACCCGATGTTAGAAAAGACCACCGAAAAGTACTGGCTTGGTAGAGACGGTGAAAAACATGCAAAGCTCTGTTTAGACGCTAGCCAGTCGTCTTAAGACTTAGTTTTGTTATCCGTCGATATGTATCTTCCGGGCGAATGTTACAATTAACATTAGTTGCGATAGCGATAACAACGAAAATTGTGATTGAAAAACAACAACGAATTGCAGAAGTAGCAGAAACCGCTCCGAGTTGCAAATATTGTGGCGCTACAATAGTTGCAAGGCCGTTGCGAACAACGGTGAAGGGTGGAGGACAGCCTTCCGGAAGGAAGATAAGACTCTTAATTCCCCGGATTCGAGAATCCGGAGGGGTCTCGGGACGGGAATTTTTATTATCTTGTATAAACTTTTAGCTTCCCTGCCATGTCCTGAGTTGAATTTAATTAACAACTGAATTCATTTTGATAAGGATGAGAAGCTAGGAGTTGGAGGAGAGGGTTGATCCATCTTCGATGGAGATGATGATTTTTATCTACTGAACAAAAACAATAATAATTCAATAAGTAGTAGCCCTGTTTTTAGGAGTGACCTCGTGGTCTGGGGATACTGAGACCCTGCCATGAGCTCACTATTCCTGCATTTAAGCTAGTTAATTTGAGCGTTCTGATCGAAGCCGGAGAACAGTTACGTTTTTGTCGACCCGATGTTAGAAAGACCACCAAAAGAACTGGCTTGATAGAGACGGTTAAAAGCATGTAGAACTCTGTTTAGACGTTGGCCAGTCGTCTTAGGACTTAGTTTTATTTTCCGTCGATATGTATCTTCCGGGCGAATGTTACAATTTTCTGATCCGAAAAAATTTGTTAAATTTTAGAAGCCACCGTTAAAAAGTTGTCCGGTTTTCACATGGGACCGTAAGGAGTTTTTCTCGGGGCCATAATTCAAAACGAGTTCGTAACGCTACCATTAATTTAAACAAATACGGATATTTGCGTTCCAAAGGAGTGCAATTCTCGTAATGCGAAGATGCAAGAAGACATTGAAAATCACCAAACGGAATAGAAAACTCACCAAGTGCTTTCCTTGATTTTAAACGACCATTCAACATGATGCTTTCTTCCTTGAATAATTTTTTGTTTCTTTGTATGAATGCAATCTCCCAGCGTTTATACGGCCCTATTCGATCAAACTGTCCTAGGACCAACGTATGACCGAAGGTCCTCAATTAATTGTTTTTTTTTTCTAGAACAGAATGCCACTTGCATTGCAAGTTGCCAACACCCCCATGCAATTTTTCTAGATAGGCTCCGAAAGAACTTGAGCACATGTGCCGTGGGACCCAGTGCAGGTAGTTTTCTTTATTTGGGACTATACTTTGCTGAATAAGTTGCGAATGCTGTCTTTTTGTTAGGCACTTTCATTGATAACGTTACTTTCATAGAAGTGTTTTGTTTATAGATGTGCAGGTGTTAGATTTTTCGATCTGGTTGTCTTGAGTCCCAATGATCTCGATTGTTTTCACGTTATTTTTTCTTCCACATTTCTCTTGTATCCGCATAATACCCTCTACCTCTTTAACTGTCCCCACAAACGTGACTGAACTGACCCCAATAGTCTGTGGCTACGGCCGGCCGAAGTAACAATTTCGGTGCGTATTCATAGGTTCCAAAATAAAAAATCAGTCCCATAGGTTCCAAAATAATAAAGCAGTCGCATAAGTTCCAAATCTTTTCAATGGGCCAAAAGACTAAATTAGCCGAGTCTCGGTTTAAGGTCGCCGGTGGGCGCGCTACGCGCGCGTCGCCGCTTAGCGGCGATAACCGGCTCTAAATTTCGTATAGAGTCCTACCCTTTGGTGGCAAGCTCGCAACACGTTGGCGCGGCTGCGGCGGTCACTATTCTGCAGCTTGAGTTAATGCTGGTTGAACAGTAAACAATCGATCCAAAAATTCGTTGGCTCAAATTTCAACCAATGAGAATTCAAGAAGATAAATTTTGGAACTTATGCGACTGATTTTTTCTTTTGGAACCTATGAATGTTGGAACCTATGGGATTTCACCAACAATTTCCTTTAGACTCGGGCGAAGTTCGCATGACGCCCCCCTATGGTCAACTAACAACAACAACCTTACCGAGATATTTCCAGAACCTTCTGATTGTTTTGCACGACCTGCACTTGCAGCTATCAATTTTCAATTAAAACGTTTATTTTTGGTGTAAGTGACAAAAGTTCCTTTGAAGATTTTTCATTTTCAGACTCTTTGATGTCTTTTTTTTTAAATTTAATTTGTATTTGTCGTTTCTAGCACCAAACATCTTCTCTTTTTGGTATACTTTTCGAGCCTATTTCTTTCCAAAGTTGAATGAGTTGTCGAGGATGACGAAAGATGCTCGATATAACTGTAATTTCATGATAATCATGATAATTAAGACCTTTCGATTATCTTGCGCCACTGTTCTTTCCAATCGGCGAGAGTGGTCGTAACAACAGCAATAAATAGTTAAAGTATAATGAGTGAATGTCATCCATGTAAAACCCTTAGATATAAAAATTGTATTTGATTAATTTGACAAGTGATTGACCGAATAATTTCAGGAAAAATGATAGCTTCATCGGTTGAGCCGATGCAAATCGATGAAGATGATCAGAATGCGGACCTTCCGCAGATGAATGTCGAGAGTGCTGATAGGCCTTACGGGAGTGCTGATGGCGTGACCGCAGACTTCAGAGTTTCATCCTGTTCTATTGACCTTGACGCATATTCACAGCAATACACCGATCTTTATCGAATCAACCGGCTGATGTTTATTGCTGAACACTGTCCTTCACTAAAGAAAGACGCAATTATACTGGCTATTAAAAGTGTCGAAGTGAGTAACTTTTTTTTAAATTCACGTCCTCAAGTTTGACTTTTCCGATATAAAACGGAATGCAATACAAGTGTTTTCTCTTTGTTTTAGAACACGAATAATGTAGAGATGTATAAAAAATTACACGTGCATCTCAGCGAGTCAATTGTTTCAAATGGTAACAGAAATGGAATCGAAAATGGGGCTTCTGAGCGACAGCTACCCCCATTCGATAAATCGTGGCTGGAGACAAGCTCGAGGGCTTCAATGGCTAGATTTGAAAAACTAGATGCGGATCTGAGGAGCTACAAGTCGAATTCTATTAAAGAGAGCATAAGGAGGGGGCACAATGATCTGGGAAAGCATTTTCTGAATATTGGTTGGTATTGGTTAATTATTTTGCGGATAAATTTTAAACGAGATAAATTACAAACGGGACCCTTCCGTGTAGTTACGGTCAGTGCACTAGCTGGATAGGGCCATACCAGCGTTTTAAAACCCTAACCCTTCATCGTCCTAATGTTAGTTTATCTTAGCCGTCCTTCCTCTTCAATAGCGCCTATAAAGTTGTCGATAACTTGATTTTTGAGTAGCGATCTGCACCCTCTTATACATAGTAGTTTTTTTTAGTTCTAATGCAGTTTATCGATTCTGGTAGCTTTCTTTTCTTTTTCACTTAGTTTTTTGGCTAATAGCTGCATCGTCCGCGTGGCTGTTGGAACAGCGCCACCGGTGCATCCGAAAATCAGCGGGCAGAAGCTAGTCTGCTCTACGTTTAAAGTTCTTTGCTCATATTTGGTGTTCTTCAATGTCTCGTGATTTTGTATGCGTCTTTGTGCAGTTTAAGGCAGTTTCTGCGTAAATAAGGCCAATGGACCAGAAATGATTGGTAATACTCTTCTGAAAAACCTCTCAAAGTCACTACCAACATCACTTCACCCGTTTTTCTTTCTAGTCTTCATAAATGATCTACCGTCCTGTGTCATGTCCGCAACATTTGGTTATGCAGACGACTGCAAAATTGTTGGAGACAACCCTTTAACTCTCAACATAGATGTTAGGAGACTTTGGAGGTGGTGCGAGGAAAACTGCATGGCAATGAAACTGACGAAAAGCAAAGTACTCTGTATCAAAGGATCAGCTACGATTGCACTCCTCAATTACAGCTTCGAAACCACTGAAGTAATGAAAGATCTGGGCATCCTGATAACCGACAGGCTCTCTTGGACGCAACACGCAAAAAAGGGCTGGAAAAGCCTTAAACGCTCTCTTCGTACTCAAAAGGAATCTCTCAAAGGCAAATTTCGCGACCAGACAAAACGCATATATCTGTTACGTTGTGCCAATTTTGTGATACGGTTCAGCTATCTGGAAACCATCAAAAGGTCACTTAGGAATCATAAAAAGTGTGCAGCGGAAAGCGATCTCGTGGATTTTCATGACAAGCAATAGCCATATCTCCTATAAAGACAAACTCGTAAAACTTAATATCCTTCCTTTGTCTCTATACCAAGAGCTTCATGTTGGACTGCTATTTGCAAAAATATTAGCTGGAAAAGTTGACATCGACTGGAGAAGCCATGTAAGCATCACTTACGTTGGAAACCGAAGAGCTCAAATGACACGAAATTTCGTCTAAACAAATGCGTCTGAAGAAGTGCGAGTCGGATTTCTGGTTTCGGGCATGTCTTGCTAATCTGTACAACGAATACTTCAAATGTGACCTTTTGTTTGACCCAGAATGCAAAAACAGACTTCTAGGAATGTACACAAAGTTTTTCAAAACTAGCTACAGCGAATCAGATACATGCACTTGGCGCATTTTATGCGAATGCAATAACTGTAGAGACCCGAAGAAACTTACACTTATAACTGAAAGCTAACCTTTGAACAAAGCAATGACTGGGTTTTATGCGAACACTTGGATTATATTCCTAAATCCTTTGTTATTTTTATTATTATTTTGTTTTCGCATGGGGATTGAAAATTTTCACATCAAAGAAAGCGTGACTAAATCGTAAACCTCAGATTCCGTTTGCTTTAATGTCAAGTCGTGCCTCATCTTCAGTTTTAGTTGAATTGTTGACAAAGCTTTCGCCTTGCAACGGCTGAAGTTTCGGCTCAATCTTGACGTCATGGCAAACATCGTTCGTGAGATTGGCGAGTGTGTCTCTACATTCGCAACTTGCACCACATGCACATGTGAATTGGGTTTTGGTCTATTCCCATCCGTATCTTAAGAAAATACCATCTCTGAAGTATCTGCTTAGTGGTAAAACATTGAGCCAGTTAAAGGCTCCCTTTTCAGAGGCCAGGTCGATTGAGCTTTTATCAGTTTCATTTTAGCAGTTAATGAGTTTTGTTTTCTTTCGGTTTGTTCTATCAGTTTTCAATTTTTTTTCCGTAAAAATTTTTCCTTGCTGTGTTATTGCTGTAACAGGATCTTGAGATTCCAGTAGTAGTAATGTTTCCTTAGACCATTCTAGATAGCTTTCATGGTCGGATGGCAGCTTGATGTTAAGACTGCCCATTTTAAGGAAAATATCTCACGGAACTGGTGGTTTTGTGTCTTTACCGACTAGGTTATAGGGATCAGTTGTTCCTTGAACCTTTTCATATGTTTTCAAGTTTTTCATAGTTTTAGGCGTTGTCCTGCTTAGAAATGAAAGCTTCTCTTGAACTCCTTTAGTATAGCAGGCATAAATGTTTTGGGGGGAATTATAAGCGATTTTCGTTAGTTTTTTTTGTTTTGATTTGCTCATTCTGTTGAAACTCGAGAAACGCTTTACATTCAAATTCTGCTCCTATAACAGAACCAAGAACTCGGGCGCCTGCCTGTATAGTGATTCATGTGTTATCGAAGTTTTTCTCAGCTTCACCGAGTTTTCATTTTTGACTATAAGCTGGCATTTGGATGTTTTAACAAGGTATCCAAAGAATTTACCTAGTGATACAATTTTATCGAGGATGGTTCGTAGGCTGCTTAATTTACCGACTGCGGTCCTGTCGTCTGCGTACCATTTCTGGGTTACTTTGTCTACTGATAAAAGTTTTATGAAGGGTATTATGGCTAGACCGAACATGTCCATTGCTAGCGGATCCCGCTGGGTTGTCCATTCTTGAGAGTAGATGTTTTTTTTGTTAACGAACAGTTCAGATGGATTGGACTACGAGTTTTTAATAGCTGTTAAGGAGATTAGTAGGTATTTAAGACGTTTTTCAATTTAGAGAGTTGAAAGCGTTTTTGGCATCTATCAGTAAAACAGCATCGGCGGAGATTTTGCTGTATCGATCTATAGCATGTGGATCGCATATTCAATGCCTAATTTTTGTCCTAGATAGCGTTGGTAGTTTGAACTGAGTGACATGAGTTAGTTTTTTAGGCACTTAAGGCATTTGGTAATTATTCGTCCTGTTATCCTTCGCATATCTCCTATGCTTATGGGTCCTACTCCTGGGTTCGTGTCTAACGGTTTTTATCTACATGCTCTATATGGTTCCGTTAGTTCTGAATTTAGTTCTTCAGTAGCCAATTTTTTGGCAATTTTAGCTATTGTTCTTGAAATCTCAAATGATTGTTGTCTGAAGTGTGTTAAACTACGGCTCCATTCATCTGCATCAAGGCCAGATAGTCCATGAGATCCGTGCCTTCTCATGCCTGCTTTCTTGATATGTTGACCGTTTATCTTATCAAATATCGATGGATAGAAAGGGATTGTTTCATTTGAGACTGGTGTTATTTAGAGATTCACCAGACAGTTTTTTTCAGGAAAAGTTGAATTAAATTAAATGCTGGATGCTGAAATGCAATATGAGCTGAACATTAAGTTGACATTTTTTTCCTAGTAACTTTTAGAACGACTTTAATACCACTTCGAAACTGCGGTAATGCCCTGATTCCTTATTGATTATTTTTACCTGACCTTTTTTTCGAAAACTTAGTGGGAAAGTTTTGCTGGTGGTAAGATCAACGTAAGAAAATAAAAAGTTGTATATTAAAGAACCCTTTTGGTCGTGGTTATACCAGCAATGCAACTTTTTAAAGAAGTAATCTCAGTGTTGAAAAGATTCAGTTTGAGTATCTCCCTTTTCATCACTTGCGAGAGCCAGCGTCTTATCGGGAACTAGACCTTTTTCCTCTGTCAACCAATTTTATTACAAATCTGTTTGAAATTGAAGTCGCTTTATAAGTAAACCAAGGCAACTTCGAGACTGCTTCTCATTTGGCCTCGAGGTAATGCGGTTGCTTTTCTGCCCTAAGGTCTACGATTTGAGTCCCGGTCGGATCTTGTTTTTTTTTCAGTATGTATGAAAATGAATTGTCGGACTTTCGTTTGTCTGCTTATTTTTTGTTGGCTTAGTTGCTACTTTATTTACATTTTTTGTTTTAATTATATGTCATTTGTTACAGGTCTATCCATTTTAGCTCAGCTACTGACCTTATAAACTGTTATTACGTCGTTTTGACTTCAATTTCCGTCTTAGAGTTAAAGCTGATTTTTTTAGGTTTATCAATGCTTATTTTTAGGGCGTCGTAGTTTCCGTACATTTATTATGAGTAATGAACAATATGAATACTCTTATATAAGTCTTGGTAATTTTTTTTCAGGAAAAAAGTCTTAATATTGTTCACGCTCAATTTTAATTTTTCGCGGTTTGATTTAGCTTTTTTATTAAAGGCATTAAAAGTTAAATGATTGATCCAGTTTTCTCAAATTGGGTTATTTTTAACAAAAAGTGCCATCATAAGTTGTTCATGAAATTCAAAGAGCTTTAAGGGCATATGTTTTTTCTTTAAAATTCGAAAGTTGATTTTTTTCGGTTTCGTGTTTCTTACTCTGTTTCAACCGTCAGTCGGCTATCTTTTTTCATTGCTTGCATGGCGTCTTATAGCTTTCTTACTTATTCGGATTTATGCCGTGAAAGGGAATTTTTTAGTTTTCTTCATCAATTTGTTTGGCCATTAAACTGTTTGATTTTCAGTGGCAATTGCCGCTTGTCCTTTGAATACTACTGGCAAAGTGTGTTTACTGTGAGAGAAGTGTGTTTTGCATTAATAACAGAATCTCTAAAATACCAAAACAGAATAACAAGTATTCTTATTGGGTTCGTCGATTCAATATACTCTGGAACACTATTTTATCAAACAGCAAACGCTATTTAATTAGTTCATTACATGAAGCTCTAACAACAAAGTTGCAAGAAGCGCAAAAAAGTTTTTTTTTTGGTTCTGAGTTTGGCTAATTTTTGTCTGTTGGCTACGTCTTTTATCTTGGATTCGAAGCCTCTCTTTTAAGAGACTTTAAAACGCTGTATGGTTTGACCCGGTTAAGACATCGAATATATTGTTCGCGCTGTAGTGAATAAACTTGCGTGACGCGTGTTCTGATTTCAAAAATTCAATCCAGGTGACCTTCAATCGGCTCTCAAATCCTTCACCAGGACACGTGACTACTGCACCTCCAGCAAACACATTCTGGACATGTGTTTCAACGTCATAGGCGTGAACATTCTGCTTAAAAACTGGTTCCACGTGCAGAGTTTTGTCATGAAAGCCGAACAAACTCAAGAACAATCTGTGCAAGATTCACATTCGAAAAAAGTGCACTCAAAAGCAGCATGGTTGAAGTGCGCTTTTGGAGTCGCAGAACTTGCGTTTAAGAGGTACAGATCGACTGCAAAGGCATTCGTGGGAATTTCACCTGAAAATTGTCCCGATGATTTTGTATCGCCGGCCAATGTGGCTCTGTATGGAGGGTTATGCGCTCTTGCATGTTACAACCGAGACGAGCTCCGTGATAATATTTTGACAAATACAAATTTTAAGCAACTTCTCGAAGCTGAACCCCAATTAAGAGAAGTTATAACATCGTTCCATGAGTCCAACTACAAAAGGTGTTTCAAAATCATGGACGAAATGAAAAATAACTGGCTGTTGGATCTATATTTGTCTAGTCACGTGGATACATTGTACAAAATGATCCGCGAAAGAGCTCTCTGTCAGTACTTCGGATCTTACTCGTCAATAGACATGAGAAAAATGGCGACCGCTTTCAACACATCAGTTGATGATTTACAAGAAGAATTGGCAGTTTTGATTCAAAATGACGCCATACAAGGAAGAATTGATTCGCATAACAAAATTTTACTTGCGAAAGAAGTCAATCACAGAACGGCGATTTTAGACAAAGCTGTCGAACTTGGCGATGAGTTTGAACGTAAAAGTAATGTGATGTTAGCGAAGTGCGCGCTAGTTAAAGCTAGAGTTGTTGTTAGTTGGAAAAATGGCCAAGGTCGTGATAATGACCAGTCTGCTAGCAGCACTTCAGCCGTTGCCACAAAAACCAGATCCCAAAACCTCCACGCAACTTCTGGAATGACAATTTTTGGATCCTAATTGAGGATTTCTGATACCTTTCATGAACTTAAATTTCTGTGATATCAAAGTACAATGTGAATTGATTTAATGCGTTTGAAGGATTGAAAAGATGAAAAGCCAAAGTGATTAATTGAATGTGATCCAAATTTAGTTTAAATTAACTGAAATTCTTATCAACTTAAAACAGTGATTTTGTTTTTAGTACAAATAGTGCCAATAAGACGATGGTCGGAAGGTGCCCTTAAATCAAGTAAATTTTAATTAGAATCGGACGATTTACCAACAATTCCTGCCTTTAGAGTATAGAAAATAAAAAGAATTCCAAGCCCTGAAAGCCATTAATTTGAGATTTCGGCTTAGATGCTGTTGAGTTGAATGAGCTTTTGATGCTAGTCTATGAAGCAATGTCCCGCGATAGTAATTGATGTCTGAGCTTGGTGTTGCCTTTACTTACTCGTTTCAACTGTTTTCAGATTACGATTTGCAATTTTGTAGTACTTTGCACCGCCGATTAGACTGTTTTGTACATTTAACCCACATTTGTAAACCACAGATGAGCAGATAAGCAAATAGTATTGAAGCCTTTAATGAACTCAAACAGATTTTCCATCACTGGGTTTTCGATGTTCTCAAAACAAAACGACCTGAACAACCCACCTGGAAAATCAACAACAACATCTTCAAATAATGCCAGTCATTCTAGATCGAGTAGCGGAGATAACGATAGCGGTTTGATTGCTTCTTTACCCATTGCGACATCCAGTAACGGGCATTCCGGAAGCTCACAGGCTCATGATGAGTTGACAGTACGAGAGATATTATCCTCGCTTTTTCCCCCATTTAGGGAAACAGGCCCGGTCCTGTTAGCCCAGATTGATGCCCTGATTCAGAAGGAGTTTGGAGGTAAACTGGAGAGGTTTCTGAATAGTTTTCTGCTGCAAGCGAAGCCAGTGTTGCAGTGGATTCGGGATGACGCCAAGAATGCTCTGTTGAACAGGGAGTGTTGTCCTGCTATTTTGCCAGAAGGTATGTTCAAATATTATCGGGTTTGTTAAATCCTGAGTTATTCGAATGTTTTTTTTTAATGAAAATCATGGCGACCTTTTTAATCAGACATCAGACAATACTAGAAAAAAAGGAAGGAATTATGTAATAGAATGGGTTTTTCCTCCCTATTTTGGTATCCGTGGGAAAATATTGTTTTGGGTCAATTGTGGTATCAGATAAAAGCACATTAAGTAGTGACTCGGTTTTAGTTTTGTTATTGTAAAAAAAATCTTCGTGCCTCTAAAAGCTTTTTAAAAGGGAAAAAAGTCTTTTTTTTGCTAATGATTTCAAACTGTTTTTTGGCAATTCAAGTTTAGGCAGTGGAGGCGTGTTCTTTGCGTGTACAGCGTAAAATACGTCTCTGGCCTTAAAATAGGTATCTTCATTGATTTTAGCTGTGCTAAACTTTTTAGTAGTCCTAGAAAAAGATTTGTGAATATCGTCTTAAGTTATTCAGCCTCTCAGAGGTTATTTTAGTTGTATTTTCTTAATTACCTTTGGCCTTGATTTTTCAAAGTTCAAATGAAGTTTTTGGTCACGAGTTCACTGAAAACTATTTCACAGATTGTAGGTTCACAATCAAGTAAAATAATCTGTTAAACCTTCTGTAATATTTTCATTCTTTACACATTTTAGCAAATTTGAACTTCAAGGTATTTTGCAATGCTCTAGGCTGGCCTCTCGTGTTTAACAAAGGCCTTGTTATCAACCTGTTTGAAATATCCGAATCCCATCTTCAATCCGGAGACTTTTACCTCATTCTGGCGCGCGATTCAGCCAATCAGAATCAAGCAACTCCGTTCAATGAGAACCTCGACCTCTTCGTGAAGTTTTTCGCGAGAGGAGCTGTGCATTCGTTTAAAGTTGCAGCGGAGAGCTTCGAGGAACTGTTCACTGAGGAGTTTATGAGGGGAGTTCCAACTCAAATGGGCCAAGATGTTGTACTGCAGAACGTGCTTTGCTCATCAAATAGAGGTTTTTTTTATGTTTTTTTTTTTATTTTTTTGTTTCAAATTCAAAGTTGTACGAGTATCGAGAAAATGGGTTTTCAATTTTTGAATTTGTTTCAAATTCAAAGTTGTACGAGTATCGAGAAAAATGGGTTTTCAATTTTTGAATTTGTTTCAAATTCAAAGTTGTACGAGTATCGAGAAAATGGGTTTTCAATTTTTGAAATTGTTTCAAATTCAAAGTTGTACGAGTGTCGAGAAAATTGGGTTTTCAATTCTTGAATTTGTTTCAAATTCAAAGTTGTACGAGTATCGAGAAAATGGGTTTTCAATTTTTGAATTTGTTTCAAATTCAAAGTTGTACGAGTATCGAGAAAATGGGTTTTCAATTTTTGAATTTGTTTCAAATTCAAAGTTGTACGAGTATCGAGAAAAATGGATTTTCATTTTGTTTCAAATTGAGCGGAAAAAGCGAGCCTGCATAACGCGCTTTTTAGCGCCACTCCAGGAATCAAAAACTTCTTAAGTTTAAAAAAATTGTAGAATACTTCTTGTCGTTTTGTTTACAAAGTCTTGTTTGTCGTTTTTTTACAAAGTGATGTCCAATTTGCATATTTTACTATGAATTTTCAATATCCTAAGTTCTAGTTTTTGTTCAGATCCTTTCATCACATCACGCAGAAAAAAACGAATATAACCACGCAGTTATTTGAAAAAGAACTGACTTTTTTTGTTTTGTTTTAAGACGGTCGGAACATTCTCTGCTACATGCACAGTAACCGGTTATCCTTGTTTCTTATGGTTTCCTTGGGTTTATGGACACTTTTCTAACAGTCTGTTGGCTATATTTATACAGTGTCACCATTAGCATATCGATAAATGGTTTGACTGACAGGGTTTTTAAAGCTAATTTTCCGATATCCGGAAAACAAAGCATTTAAGTTTCGACCGGATAATAAATTTGAATTCGCAACGCTAGAGATTTTAAAGTTCGATCTTCTCTTCGCCGGTTAGACTCTACCGGTTTCAAAACTGGTCACCTTAGCGACGTAATACCACTTTTTTGTGTACATTTTTGATCCTTTCGGTAGCATTACCGTTTTTGATAAGTTAAGTAGATATGCTATTTTTTCTCCCTCAATTGATCGAAATGATTGTTTTTAAATTACCCATTTTTCAAGTGTATCTTCACGGCACACTCGCTCAGGGCATTAAAATTGAAAGAGAACTTCATCACTTCTTTTTGAAGATCAAAATAAAAGCCAGTGTCGAAATATAATTGTTAAATCGGCTCATTTTCAACTTTATATGATCCTAGTTTTAAAGATACGCTGAGGTCACACATTTTTTTTTGTCTAGCTTCATCAAATAAATATAGACTATAAGTTAGAACTACTTCATTTGAAAATGTTTATAGTGAATTTTGAAGTGATTTGATACTTGACTGTGCTTGAGCAATGCGAATTTATAAAAATAACTGTGCTTAAGTTCTGTTTTTATTGAATTTGACCAAATTTAGCAGATATTTTGTCAAGTCATTGTAAAAAAAATTCGCCAGCTTGAATTATTGTGATTCGTTTCATTGAAAATTGAAACTTTTTTGGTTCTAAAAAGTTAACTGTTCAATAACCTGGCTCCCAAGAAGAAGAGGCGGCGTTTCAAACGCTGTCTGGGTAAAAACTTGGGGGCTTTTATAGTCGAGTTATCAGATGTTATCGTTGACATGCTCGATTGTAAGTTACATTAGTAAAGTTGAAAAAATACTTTTGTAATTAAAAATTTTTTTTTTTAAACTATTATACAATTAGTAATTTTTGTATCGTAGATTTCTTCGGTTTTTTCATGAATGAAAGAAAGCTGGAATCATTTTTGCATTCAACATTCTCGTCAATATTTAAGTCATCATCATATTTAATTATTTTTCTCATCGTAAGCAATTTTTCTTTCGTAAAGTAAAACTATCATGCATTCTTAACTGTTTTTTTTTTCAGTGTTGTTTTTTCTTTCAGGTATAATCAACTACTCCTGGTCAGACGTTGTACTAAGCAAGACCACCAACACATGTGATGACGAAGAACCAGACTCACCCTCACTCCCAAGGAACTCAGCCGCTCTCTTCGGTCGATCTCTGAGACGCTCATCGCCAGCTCTGTCTTCCAGTCTGCCAGACTTGACTCTGTCAGCAATCGAAATTGACTTCCCATCTGGTGCACAACAATCACAAGGTGTGATATTTGTTTAAACTTCTATCTCCATTCGAGATGAATAGTGCCCATATATTTTTATTAATTTAGTCCTAAAAGCAGTAATTTCTTTGAACTCATTGTTTCGATGAATCAAGGAGTGGAAAGGAACCGTGACCTCGATTTCTTAAACCTAGTTTTTCAGGTAAATCAAAGGAGATCGTAATCGATTGAGTTTCGTTGCATGTTAGAAAGATCAGTCAAGATTCGGTTTTTTTTAAACGTTAACAGAGAAACAGTCTGTTTTTTTTTCTATTCTGGCGCAATCACAGCGAAGAGCTGATAAAGTTGAGTATTAATTTAGAAGACGAACTTTTTTTTGCTCTAACCACTCGAAAGATTGAGTAGGAACTATGACGTTAGGCCGTTTTTTCCATGCAAAATCAGTTATCTCGTTTAAAACGCGTAGGGCATCGAATTTTGTATCATATTCCCTTTCCTTTTCAGTCGTGTTTGGGACAAATTCGAAAAAATTGAGTCTTAACTTAAAAACAGCTGTGTATCATTGCGTTCATTGAAAAATTTTCAACCGTCGGTTGGCTTTGTTTTTGAAATAAAATTTAGATTTGATTAAGTAATTTAGAACTTTTTTTTTTAGTTTTTTGTATCTTGTAAATTAGTCGGAACTTTATGCTACTGCATAGCATCTTACTACTTCTGTTTCTACATTTTTTCTTCTTTTTTTTCTATGTTCATCTTTCACAACTAAGGCGTGTAGTGTAATACAGGGCTAATTCACAATGGATTCTGATGGTTACGCTTTCGATTGGTAAGCGTCATCGAATCGGAATTTAGACTTTTTCGGGTTAACAACTAGTTTAATATGATCCTCATTTTACCTTTGGTTCATACCAATGCAAAAGTCAGACCTTTATTCGCGCTGGTGGCAAAGCTAGCGCACCTGCTTCTATAGACAAAGGTAAATGGTTCGAATCTCGCGAAGCCCTGTTTTTTTAAACGGAAAATTTTCCGCGCTTCAAAAAAATGCTTGTCTGCTGGTTTGTGTCGAATTAGTTACCGCAGCACCAAATTTGCCCTAAGATCGGTTTTTACCTAGTTTGAAAATGATTTCAGTGTCCATCTGTGCATTTGGTGAAGTTGTAATACCCATGCTTGAGGCGACAAATCTCGGAAGTTCAATTTCAGTCAGGACCTGTGTTTTTGGAAACTGAAAAATTTTCGACCGTTTCAAACTGTCATGTCTGCTTATTTTGTCGGCGTAGTTCACGGCAAAATTATTTGATTTCTTTTTAGCATTTTGAAAGTTCTAAGTAAAATTTCTAAGGATGCAGTTTTTATCCTTTTTTGCAATTTTGTTAATTTTTTTGACAAATTTGATTGAAGGTTTTTTTTTAGCAATTTAGTCTGAAGGTTTTTAAGTTTTTGATTTCTTTTGCGGTAATCATATTCACTCATTTTTGTATCGCAAGTGGTGCGAAGCTCAGTTTCGCCTCTCTGTATCAATGCTGCAATTTTGCAACATCCGTAATAATATTAGTTTAATCTGAAGATATTTCAACAATGATTATGTATGTACAGTTTTTAATGGTGAAAATTTTTTGCATTCTTTTGATTTTTTTTTGTTATATTCAGTTTTTGTTAAAAAACAGGCAAATCTGTTTAATCTCTTGTTTCAAAAAAGATGTGATTGACCTCTGTTTATAAAAAAAAGTACGTTAATTTCTTTTGAATTCCCAGCGAAATAAAAAAAAACCTATTGTTCCATTTTTCTCTATAAGAAAAAAGTGTCGATCATAAACAATTCTTGAAATTCAAAGAGTCTTAAGGTGTTAAGTTTTATTCGAAAGTTAAAGATTATTCAAAGTTTTTCCATCATTTTATTGTTTTCCTTGAGTTCTACTTTTTCCAACCATCTGTTTGGTATCCATTTTAAGTTGGGAAAATTGAGTTGTCTTGCTTGAGAGTCATAAAAAAGAAACTATTTTATCATAAACCACAATTATTTTTTGTTTATCAGATCAATTAAGCTAATTGATCCGAACATTCGAAAAGTGGAAAGGAACTTCGGATTTGGTTTCGGAAGTTGCGCTTTCCAATTACGAAAGTGTAAAGATCACGGAAAACGTGATCGACTTCTAGTTTCGAAAGTGGAATTTAGTTTTCAGATTTCCCAGCGGAATAAAAACTTACTTTTTGATCCAGGTTTTTCAAGTCTTAGAGAGCTTTAAACTCAGTCATTTTTGGATCTGAAATTCGAAAGATGAAGTTTTTTCAAAAACAATTAAGATCAGTTTTTCTTTTGTTTTTTTTTTGCATTGATTTGCTCTTTTGTCATAATAGATTTTTTCTTATATCAGTTTTGTTAGATTATTCTGTCGTATTTGGACAGCAACAGGTTATCCTTGTTTGTGATTTATACTGATGATATTATTAGCTCTTTGAAACAGATTTTAGTCATCCATCAAATGGGTTTTTAGTGATATACGTCTGAGAATTGTTCCTTAGAAGGAAAAACCAATTTCACATTCAGACTATCTAGTTGAGCCATTTTCAGTTTTTTCAAACAATTAACGTCAAAAACGCTATAGAAAAATTGCGGTTGGTGTTTAAGTTAAAGGTTTTTTTGCCACAGCGCCACTTTAAAGTACCCAAAGGAAAATGATGTCACAAAAACATTACGGACAAATTTTCTAAACGCTCAATTTTGTCAGCGTTCTCAATTCTACATAAGCTGGTAAAATACATCCGTCCCTTTTTAGTTAATAGTTAATTGGCTCATCCAAGCGTGAACGAAAATTTTTCTTTGACTCGAATAAATGCCATTTGTAAGGTAAATTGACATAATTACACATTTCTTAAGCTTTTTCAACTGAGGAAATATAATGGTGGTTGAAACATCTTATCAGTGCTTGATCACCTTTTAATCAAACTACTTTTTCGTTGTTATTAGTCGCATTTTGGTTCAGGTTTTTCGATTCTTCGTACCTTTTTTAGTTAATTGGGAAATTGTTGAAATACCCGCTATTCAATTAACGTTGTTTTTTTAAAAAAAAACTGAAATGTCATTCAGATTGTTAAAAGAAGGAAATGTGTTTAGCAAGCCACCCCTGTAGCGATTTTCACCAAAGAACTCTCAGCAATCTAAATGCACAAATGTCATGCGAAGCAAGAGTAGAACATCACGTCGAACCCAAAATTAGCCGAAACCCAATCACGCCCCTAAGAAGATCAACGTCGATGCGAAAAGCCGAATCTCTTTCAAGGTCACTTGCCTCGAGTAGTTTGTTACAACAGCGAAGGTCGGCAACTCCTTCTTATTTGAACTCGGACAGCTCGTGTAACAGTACCTTAACGTCGGCAGGGGGTCTCGTTGACAACTCCTCGTCATTCGGGGGTTCCACGAGCTCAGTTGAACAATCAGACGACAGTGCTCACGATATCCGAAGATTGTCGAACGGTTCGACTGGTCAACTTCCAATAATGACCCGAAGTTCGAGTCGAAAAAAGCAATTCACAGCCGAGTTTAGTAGTTCAACAAGCTCGTTGAGTGATTCAATGGCTAATCAAGCTTTGGATCTCAACTTCGAGTTGCTCGATTGTGGCGCGTTGAAATTAACATGCGGTGAAGATTCGCACAAATCAAGAATTGTAGAAGTTTTAGCCAACAATCCAATCTTAAACATAACAGAATCACAAGAAATAGCCAGGCTTATTTGTTATTTCCATAGTTGTTTGTCCCAAAGTGAGCAAGTTAGAGGCCTGTGTTTAATAGTTGACGGACGAGTTACGAGGAAAAACTCCCTGGAGAAAGTAGCCGAGGCGTTCAGGATGTCGGAGGAGCTTTCGGCAGGCGCCATTGCGAGAATCATCATCCTATGTGGTAACTCAGGAAGCACTTTGTTTCACTCTATCAATTTCAGTCACGACCCGACAATGGTTGAGTTTTTCAACAAAGCGGACGCTTTTTACAACGCGATTCCGAAGCTGCAGTTGACGAGTACGTTTAACGGGAACCTTTCGAATCATCACGAGGAATGGGTTCGCTTCAGAATGAAGTTGGAACCCTATGTAAGCAGCTGTGAAATGGCCTTGACCCAAATAGAAAGATGCAAGAAAATCTACAACCAACACTTCCTGCCATCAAAATTGAAAGAACTGAACCGAGTCTTGAAAGAACACCAAGCGAATATTGCGAAGCTGAGAAATGAGCAATATTTATGCAGCAATAATAACCAAATATTGGCGAGGCTTCGTGAAGAAGCTACAGCGATTTCGGAGTTTCCTGACGCTTATAACGCCGTTGATTCCGCTGAACGTCTGCAAATGAAACTGAATTCAGAGTTTTGTGAGCTGGACGCTCATTCAAAAAGTTACATAACAGCCATTGAAGCGGCGATTGCGGCTAGACAGTTCACAGACGAGTATAAAAAAATACTAAGTTGGTTCCAGAAACGAGGCGAAGTTTTCTTGGAGGACAGTCTGCTGGGAGAAAATTTACAGTCGTTAATGAATGCCGAAAAAGAGTTCGATAGGTTTAATTACCACGCTATGAAGTATTGCGAAAAGGCAGGGGATATAATTGACGAAGCTTCCCAGTTGAATAACCAAGACGTGAAAACAAAGTCAGACCATTTGAAGAATGTTGTTCAATCGTTTGTGGCAAAAATGGATAAACGTAAAACACAAATTGAAAACATGCTCCAAATTTACCAACATATTGACCGGGCAATTGAATGGGCTCTGAATGGAATGCATTTTTTGGCTAAAATGAACATGGATCGTGTGCAAACAGAATCAGGATGTCTAAAACTTCTGAAAAACATGGAACGGTACCAAGCGAAATATCCGCAAATTACGAAAGAAATGTTTGATCGCATGGAAGCACTTAGTAAGGAGCTGGAAAATGATAATTTACTTGAACAGTTACAGTTTGCTAGGAAGAAGTGCAAAGATATTGATGATTTATTTTGTCGGCGGAATCATAGTATCCAGAAAAGTTTGGATAGTATTCGTTGCGTGCCTGTGTACGTTGACAGAATTCATCAGAATAAACGAGCGAGTTCGGCTTATTGTCCACCAATGAGACTCGACTTCGAATCATCAAGTGCTGCGGAAGATACGGACGGGGATCTCTTGGACTCCGAACCGATGTTGCTCCGAGATCCCCAACGTCGCGCAAGTTGCTTCCAATTTCAAGGCTATGAAAGCATCGGAAACACGACAACAGATACGGGTTCCGACTTGGACTCAAACCCGGGTACTCCTGTTGTACAGAGGAAAGTTCCGAGAGCTGCTGAAAGTTCAAGACAGTGTAAGGAGAAAGATGAAGAAACGGATCTTGAGGAATTGATTCCGATTGATGAAATTGCCTTAAACGATAATCAGGAACAGGTAATGGATCAAAACTCAGGTTCGGACAGCGACAGTAGTGTAGTGACGATGACGCATAGACCTGGAGGTGCTGGAACAGTTGCTGGAAGGGTGAAGCGAAGGAAACAAAATACTGTATCTGCAGCGACTAGACATAAACGAACACAAAGTCTTATTCAAATGGCATCAGCGAACCCCAGTTCGGAGAATCTGAGTAAAAGTGTGAGGCTTCCGAGGAAGCAGATATCAAGAAGTGGATCACAAACGTCCAGGACCTCCTCGACGTTGACAGGAGGTCATACCTCGATCAGCACTCCTATGGTTTCATCAATCAGTTCACTAGCCTCGATTCAAAGCTCGCCACAAGAACACGAAACAACGTCCAATACTTCTATAACACATAGTGAAGAAACTCCGCCTAAAAACTCCTCTAGTTGCTTTGGAGTGTCTCACGAAATCGAAGATGACGCCAGAAGCATTCAAATGGAGACAGAGCTTTTAGAGCAAACGAGAAATGAGCTTTTATCCACTTCGCCGAAGTCGTGGTCTATAAATAACCAATCAGAAATTGTGAATCCACCACAAGGAAAGAAAATAATGATAGAAAGTTCGAGTTCAAAAGTTCCCGAGTTTTCCACCCATTTGAAGCACGTGATCGCCGAAATGATTCAAAGTGAGCGGGATTACATCGCAAGTTTGGATTACATAATCGTGAATTACTGTCCCGAAGTTGAACGCTTAGACGTTCCGCAAGCGTTGAGAGGAAAAAGAAATTTAGTTTTCGGGAACGTGGAAAAATTCTACGAATTTCATGCACATACATTTCAAAAAGAACTGGAATTGTATGCAAACGATCCTTTGGGAGTTGGCGCAGCCTTCGTGAAATATGAATCTGATTTCTACATGTACGCACTGTATAATCAGAACAAGCCAAAGTGTGATCAAATTTTGGCCGAATGCGGCAACTCGTTTTTTGCTCGCAAACAACTGCAATTGAATGACAGAATGAATTTAGCAAGTTATCTGTTAAAACCGATTCAAAGGTTGGCGAAATATGCATTGTTGCTGCAAGATTTAATGAAGCATTGCCCTAAAAGTCACCCACACGAGCAAACGCTGGAATGTGCAATCACTATTGTGAAGTTTTTGCTGCGTCATGGAAATGATTTACTGGCTTTGGAGTCCCTTAAAGACTGTGACTTAGAACTAAAAGATTACGGAAGGCTTTTGAGGCAAGAGGAGTTCTTAGTCTACCAAGGACGCAAAAAGTTCATGAGACATATCTTCTTGTTTGAAGATTTGCTGCTGTTTAGTAAAACGAAAAAGTCGAGAAAAGGCCATGATTACTACCAGTATAAGCACTCATTGAAAATGCAAGATATCGGTTTGACCCAAAACATCGGAGAAAGCGGATATAAATTTGAAATTTGGTTCAGAAAACTCAAAGCGGGGGAAAATTACACTATCCAAGCCCCGACGTCTGAAATCAAGAACTCATGGGTCAATGAATTTACCAAGCTGCTCTGGGACCAAGCGAGGAAAAAACGGGATCGAAGGTTCAAAGAAATGGAATCACTAGGAATTGGTTACAAGCCATTTATTGACATCAACCCGAATGAAGATCAAATCAATGACCGAAACGTGAACAACTTTTTGCTCAGCCGTGGGAGCAAAATGAGAAACAGTATCGCAGTTCCGACTGTTGAGTTCGTTAACAATCAGAATTCAAAGCGACCCCACTCGTTGATTTCAATGTCAAGTGGATCAAGCGCGAGCACTTTGTCATCTCAAAGCTCAGTTATAGGGTCATTGACCTTAGCAAATTATGACTCATCGTCGCTTAACTCAACCCCGGAACACAGAAGAAACTCAGTGGCCAATATTAGTACCAAAATGGGAGGTCATATGTATAATTCCCTAATTTACCCGCCGGGATATTTACACAGCATATCGCATCAGCCAACGACAAGCAGTCCGATTAAAATGGCAACCCTAGGGTTAGAAAGTCGACAGATGTTGAATGAAATCAAAGAGGAGCCTACCAATCAGCATTTGACCTTGACTAAAAGTGTCTCTCAGAATATAGATTTGAACCGTACTTTGTTGCCCAATGAAGCAACTATGTCACACGAAGAATCAAACATTGAACACACTTAATTGATGTAATAAACAAATAATTTAACAGATGTTGTACAATGTTCGAGTATTTAGATTTTACTTTTTACAGCAGACGCTTATTTTAAAGTTTGAAAAACAACGATTGCACCATTCATTTCACAAGTAAGCTGGTTTTAGCCCGTAAAATTTGAATTCGTGAAATTTGTGAAATGATATACTTAATTTATTGTTTTCGTTTTGCAGCTTCTGTTAGTAAACAGTAACTTGTTGAATTTTTTTTTTTAATTTTTTAGATATGATAAAGGCAACGTGTTTGTTTCGCTCTTACTTTTGTTTGTCTTTAGGGCCTGTACTCTGTATATCTGGTTGGTTAGCAACTTCTTTGAATAATTTAATTAGAGTATTTTGTCATAACATCACTTATAAGTAAGAGTGAATCATCTAGGATTGTTTCTAAGGATTCAGTTGTGAAAAATTTGCATAATTGTTTGATGCTTAATCAAAGCAGGCGCTCAAACTGTGATAAATGCACAATGTGTTAAACGACTCACATGATTTATATTTGCACAATTTTGGAAATTTTCTAACTTATTTGTAGTTTTACTAAATGTAACGGCCAATTATTTGTTTCAAATTATTCATGTGTTTATTGTTGGTGTGTCTAAATCTATCTGGCTTAGATAGTCTTTTCTGAATTTTTCATATAGTTTTGACAACCACGTGCTAAAATTACTATTAGTTTTTGAACCATTACTTCATCAACCGGGCTGTTTAAGTTGACACAACTTTTCGACCTGAAAGAGCAATCAAACATAAGGTAAAGGTACCTTATCTGATGAAAGAGTTATAGTTCAAAGGTTTTAAAAAATGGATGGTAAAATATTTCAAACTTGGTATTTTTAAACTTTGACTTGGCTTAGAGTTGAATTGTATTTGGATTACTTTTTGCACCGATGCAAATGCATTGAAGGTGAACGTAATAGTATGGCGGTGTGCCATATGTACATTTAGGTTTTTATGGAACATTATGCGACGTTTTTTTGAACATGAAAGATTAAACGTTCAAACATAAAAAAAAACTTCAATATACATGAGAGCAGAGATAGACTCATCGATTGCTGTATAAAAATTTTCATGCTAGTCAGCTATTTATTTTTTGAAAAATTGACCTTTTTATGCCATTTGTCTCATGGAAAATGTATTTAAATTTTCCAGAACGTTCAGAGAATGGGTAATGTTCAGGTTTGTTGATAAAAAAATTTAATCGGTTTAAGGATAAGGTACTTTTCGACAACCTTCAAATTCCCAGTGTGAAAATTAGTATTAAGCATTACATACAAATATGTTATTGCTCTTTCAAATATTAAACTGTTTCTGATAATCATCAATCGAACTCAGTGTAAATTGAACTAACCATCAAGAGTTTTAATATGCTTTCAAAGAACTAAACTTAAAGTGTTTATTTTTTATAGCCTGTCCTTAACTTCAATGAAGTACTAATTTATCAACTATTATTGCTGGCAATAACCTTTTAAAACTACATTAGCCACAAGTGTTTGTTAATTCAGGTCAATTCCAGGCCTTCATTTTGTGCTAGTATGTGTATTGATGCATACGCTGGCCCTCTAAATTACCCATACCCAAAATGCTCTCAAAGCCTTCAAGTCACAAAAGTCTTCGATGTAAATTTGAAAACGTACATGCCACTGTTTATTTTTCTTCTATTTTTGGTTTGATTAAACTCACAATGTGCTATTTCCAGATTTTCTTTTGAATTAATAACGTGATGTAATCGTGTTGGACAATTTAGTCCGAATTTAAATCAACTCAAACCAAATTGATATGTTTCAGTTTTGCCTTCTAGAGAGCATCTACGATAATTTTGGTTTTGTTTCTAAATATTGATTATATTGGTTTTTAAACGCTAGCAATAGAATTTCAACTTTTGATTTTATTTGTTCTCATTTCTTTCTTAGTTGAGCTTGAAATGACTCTCTTCAACGACAAAAGTCGAAAAGAAGCAAAAGTTTTCGCTACGTATATTGTTGTTTCGACCACTGAAAATGGAGAGGAACTTTGTCTTCGGGTGTGTGTTAGCTTTTTTCCACGCAAAATCAGATACGACCAATAATGATCAGAATGAGCTGAGTGATGGATCATACTAGAGCCCTTTGAGTACTGAATTGATCGACTTCTAAAATATTCAAGAGTTTTAAGGAAAACCGATTGGATATTTTTTTTGCTTTAAGTCTAAATTTTCAATTTGTTTTCGCTGTTTAAGGCTGTTATAGGTGTCTTGATAGCTTACAAAGCTTTCGTTTTGCTACTCTCATCACATGTACAAAATTTACTAAAATTTGAAAACTAATGATTTTTTAGTTTTTTGATATCGAAGCTTTCTGTGCTATTTGTAATCGGTAACTAGATTTTTTCCCGCAAATAACTTTTCTGGCCTTGCGGCTGCCTTTGAACCTTAAGTTCTGCACCCCTCGGGGATTCGACTACCTCGCAAACCATAGAGTCCCCCTTTGGTAGTTTTTTGAATTCCTTTTTGGGCCGATCAACCCTAAAATTTTTATGAAAGAGCCTTTGGCGCCAAAATATTCTAATTTTGATGGGGAGCGCGCGCTCAAAAAACGGTTTTTTGGTCAAAGTTTTCCAAAAGTGCTCAGAAACGGTTTTTTTCCTGTTTTCAAAAAATTGCCTCCGGTCTCATTCTTTCTTTCAATATAAGGTCTTAATAGTGTTCTGGGAATGATCAGAAAATATATTTGGTCGACTTAAAAATAAGGTCTCCACAATTTTTGAAAATATGCCCCCCTCAGAAGAATCCTCAATCCGCCGCGGTTACATCCAGAAAAGCGGACCAGGCTAAATCAATTTCAATTAAGCCTTTCTTCGTTTTTTTTTTGCACCTCAAACTTATTTTTTAACCACAAAAATAGAATTTGAGTGTTACGACATTTAAGCATTTATGAATTTTTTTAAAATTTGTACGAGTAATTTGAGTCGACGGTAATTGGCTATCTGCATAAAAGAGCTTAATTACACTGAGGCTGATGGTACTATTGTGCTTGAACGTTTGAAGCATTTCAGGTGCCTTTACGAGAAAAAAAATCGACATATAAATTAATTAGTATTATATTTTCAGCGATAAAATCATTGAGCATCAAAGTGTATCCAAAATTGAAAACTAACAGTTTTTACAAGTCGTTAAGTCTCAAATTTCCAGTTTGTCGCTATAAAGTGAATGCAGTTAGTTTACTTCTTTTTTTTTGTTGTAAATAAAGAAAGCCTCCTTTAAAACAACGTCAGGAGCAAGAAAGCCATAAAAAATTGATTAATTGAAAGTAATTGCAATAAAATCCTACGGTGTGATTTTTTTGTTTCTGAACTGTTTTACGAAAAAACGTTGTTGTTATTTTGGCATATAATTTGAATGCAACTTCTATTTTTTTTTTGTGCCCTATAGGAATGAAAACTCAGAATTGCATGTTGGTTGAAAAAACATAAGCCTTTCTCACTAATCGCAGAAGTTAATAGAACTCAGTAATGATGCCTTCAGATGCTTGAAAGAAATCGCTACTAATGAGCAGCATGCAGTTTTTGCTTGGCTGTAATCCGTTTTAGTCGAACAGACTTTATCGAATAAACCGTGATGCACAGCTGGCGACATCGTAAAACTTATCAATAAAGTCAATGGTTGAGCATCAAAAATGAAACCAATAATAAACAAATTTTTCAAATATTTTTTATTGTTAAAGGTTGTTAGATAAAAAGAACATGGTAAAATACAGCCATTTGTTTTTTTTTAAAATAAATATGCAGTATCTGAATCTCGTATCAAGCGAGATTTAAATTTTTTGATTTTTTACAGCTATCAAAAAGTTTTTTTTAAATAACAAGTGTTTTTTTAAATCAAAAAGTATCCTTGCAATATCAGATTGAAAAGTTTTGACTGATTTTGAATGATTTGAAAGATCGATTGAAATATGCTAACTTCTATATCAAAGATGTGCGCACCTTTTTTCTTTTGCCTTTCTTCATATGTCGTGTGAGTTGGTAAACACTTGCGTTTTCAATGGTAGTTCTACGATGCTGATTTAATTTATCCGGACAACACAAAAAAGCTTGTTTAAAAAAACGCGATTGTCTCAACTTGGGTTGATTTTAGACAAAAAAAATTAAGAATTTTTGCAAGTCTTGTTGCGAAATTTGGATCTTATTTTTAACCCCACGAACGGAAAATTTTTGAATTTTTTTACTCAATCAAAGTTACGCTGAACTACTGGTTCAAGTGCTGACAAATTTCTATCTCAATGAACCTCTTATGTAACTCGAAAACATTAAACTGGTTATTTTTAAAATTGGAAAACATTAAACCGAGCCAGAAAAAAGGCTAAGTTGTATTCATAATTTTCAGCAATTGAACGAGAAGTTTTAGCGTATTTTTTGATTGCCTAGAAAATTCGGAAGTCTTCCGTTTTGAGGTAAAGTTAGGACCCATCTGTCAAGATTTGTCGAATTAGATGCCTTATCACGGATTTTGCTTGTGCTGTAAGCAACTTTCTTTGTAGTTGTAAGTGCAAGTGTTGTTGTTTGTTGTTTCGGTAGGGAATTTACAACTTCAACATTTTTTTTTGCTAAAACATGTTTTTTTTCGGCTCAACTTGTGTGTGCATGTCGGATTTGTTTACTCTTCGTAAATTTTGAGTTTGTGTATTATCGCAACTAGTGTAAAGCTCCGCTTCACCTCTGTGTTTAAATCACCAATATATCTCGTATTGGGGAGTAACGAACTGTGGCAGGCACAAGATAGACTTGTTTGCACCGTTTTGGCTGTCTCGGAAAACGCTCCTGGACGTTAAAAGTGCGCGCAATGTCAATCAAATTTTAGACGAGATTACGATTTTTTAAAAAGACTACAAGATTGCACAGCACCGAAAAAATCAGGTTCAAAGTTTCTCATTTTCAGTCCTAGTTTTTTAAAACTAAATGCAGAGATGTCACTTCCAATTTCAGTTTTTTTCCGGTTTAAGTGGTTTCAGCTCAAAAATTGTATGCTTAGTTGCCACATGACAGATTTTTATTGTGCTGTAAACAACTTTCATTGTAGTTGATAGTGCAATTGTTCTCTATTGTTGTAAAATGTGAGTCTCTAATTTTTTTTTAATAAAATCATATTTTTTTTCGGCTCAACGTGTGTCTGCTCAGAGATTGTCGGCTTTGTTTTTTTTTCGTATTCTTTGGTCCCTTGTTGCTCATTTAAAGTTAAAGTGATGCTTGTCTCAAAGCCAAAAATAGACACTAAAGTTAGTGAAAAAACGTTTTGAAAATTTGTTTATTTTTAAGAAAAACTTGATTAAT